TCTGTAGGGGCCGCCCGGCTGGCGCGGCGCCGAGCGCAGCATCCTGGCCCTGCGGGGCGTTGAACGGCAGTGCCTCGGCCTCAGTAAAAATAAAAGCCGTGGTCTACAGCAAGTGGTTGTAAAAGTACGTGTGGCTGTTAAGGACGTTAGCCTGGTAGGCTCAACGGAGCTACTTCATCAGAGAAGACAAAGGTGGACCTCGAAGTATTTCTTGACCGTTTTTTCCGGTTGGTGTTGCTATGCCCCTTAAGGGTATCTTTTGCAGCTTTCCAGTATCTGAAGGGGGCCTACCAGGGTGCTGGGAGAGGACTTTTTACAAGAGCCTGTAGTGATAGGACAAGGGGTAGTGGGTACAAATTGAAAGCGGGGAGGTTTAGATTGGACATCAGGAAGAAATTCTTCACAGAGAGGGTGGTGAGGCACTGGAACAGGTTGCCCAGAGAAGCTGTGGATGCCCCATCCCTGGAAGTGTTCAAGGCCAGGCTGGATGTGGCTTTGAGCAACCTGGTCTAGTGGAAGGTGTCCCTGCCCATGGCAGGGGGGTTGGAACTAGATGGTCTTTAAGGTCCCTTCCAACCCAAACCACTCTATGATTCTAAGGGGTGTTCTCTGATGCTGTGTGGCTCCCGGGCCTCGAGGTTTTCTGACAGCGTGAGTGGCAGGGTCACATGTTGATTTAGCTATAACATCCAACTGGTAGACTTGACACACGTCACTGTTAGCTTATTGCACCCAAAACTCTTGTTAATAATTATTTAGGAAGACAGTCCTTGGGTAACTGGCTTCTTCAGAGCTTCCCAAAATGTTTTTTGGGAAGAACAAAAAGTCTTAACTATGTGATGCTGAGTACTGCTTAGTTGTCTTTACTGGTTATTTTTTTGTTGTGACATACTGCCTTTCATGAATTGCTTTTATTTTTGCAGTTGGTTCTCTAGGGCACTCATTTTTAAAGTTTTGCAAACAGTGAAAGAAAATGTCACGTAAAAGTTCTAAGGAAGTTAAGAAAGTAAACGTTTCTAGCTCCTTGGAGTCTGAAGACCTTAGCTTAGAAACTACAATACCAACCGATGAAGTTTCTTCCTCTGAAGAGAGAGAAGGTACTGTTAAAATCACTAAGCAGCTCATTGAACGGAAAGAGTTGCTCCATAATCTTCAGCTTCTTAAAATAGAATTATCTCAGAAAAACCTGATGATTGACAACTTGAAAGTAGAATATTTGACCAAGGTAAGAATCATTGTTTCTTTTGTCATATAATCTCTTCTGCTTTCTGGTGTTTCTAGAGTAGTGTAGAAACTTCCATTCTGACAAAGAATTTTTGTGAATTGCATACTGGAAGCCTACTTGGCTTTTTTTTTCCCCCCCCCCCTAATGAGAAAAGGAGGAAAGATACATAAAACTTAGCTGATTTGTCCAATGTGTTATAAATGGATGAGGGGGATCAAATTAATATTTCCTTTCTTAAAAATAAAGGTAAAATATCTGTATTCTTTCAGAAATGATGAATAATTTTGTTACTGATGTAAGCAGCTTAATAGAGCTTTTAATCTGAACTTGCAGAATACTAGGAAGTCAGGTGAATGGTATTCAATGACCTGTTAATGAAGATTTGGCTAGAATATTCCAACATGCTAGTATTAGGAGCTTTTGTTGTGTACAGTTTCCACTAAGGTACATGAAATTAAGAAAGGTGTAAAAGCTTTGCCGTGGTAGTGTGCAGTTCACATTTACAAGCTACTGTGTGCTAACTGGGGCTTTCACTGTCTTGCTGCTCTGGGTTTAAGCCTAGTTTTAAGATGAACAAGTAGCTATTGGGCTGAAAAAAAAAAAGAATTGTAGAACTAAGTCTCTTTTATTTCAAGTTCATTAGGGCAAAATCCATATTGTATTTCATGAAGCCTTAGCATATTTAGAAGTCTTGTTAGGCAATTGTTCTTCTCAGCACATTGGGGTTTCCCCTTTTTTCTTTCACGTTGCTCTTTTTGTTAATTATGTTTAAAAAATTACAAAGGTAACTTTATTTTATATTTATAATTTTTGTATTTAGATTGAAGAGCTAGAAGAGAAGCTTAATGATGCAATCCATCAAAAGCAGCTCTTGTCTTTACGACTGGATAGTCAGCTGGCATTACAGCAAGAAGATGCTAGGTATGATTGAAATAAAACAAAAATCTTCATCTTAAGTAAATTATTCCTATGAATTCAAATTAATTCATGGACAGTGTGGTGGGTTGACCCTGGCTGAAGGCCAGGTGCACACCAAAGCTGCTCTGTCACTGCCCTCCTCAGCTGGGCAGCGGAGAGAAAATACAATGCAAGGCTTGTGGGTCAAGGTAAGGGCAGAGTGGGATCACTCACCAGTTACAATCACAGGCAAAATAGCCTCAACTTGGAGAAATTAGTTCTATTTATTACCAATGTGTGCTGGTTTTAGTCAGGACAGAGATCATTTTCTTCACAGTAACTGGTATGAAGCAGTGTTTTGGATTTACCGTGAGAGTAGTACTGATAAGGTGTTTTTTAGTTGGTGGTGAACAGTGCTTGCACCAATTCAAGGACTTTTCAGCCTCTGATACTGCAGCTGTGTTTGCAACTTTCTCATTACAAGCAGTTGGGGGGGTGTGGAGGCACAGTTCATACAGCTAACCCAAACTAACCAAAGGAGTGTTTCATTCCTGAGCGGGACAGGGGGCCAGGGAATGAAGGTTGTGGTCAGTCCATCACACACTGTCTGTGCTGCTCCTTCCTCCTCAGGGGAGGACTCATCACACTCTGCTCCTGCTCCAGCATGGGGTTCCTCCCATGGGAAGACAGTATTACATAAACTTCTCCAATGTGAGTCTTTCCCATGGGCTGCAGCTCTACATAAAGTGCTCCAGCATGGGTCCCTTCTGTGGAGTGCAGTTCTTCAGGAACAGACTGCTTCAGCGTGGGCTTGCCATAGAATCACAGCCTCCTTTGGGCACATCCACCTGCTCTGGTGTGGGGTTCTCCATGGGCTGCAGGCAGGTCTCTGTTCCCCCATGACCCTCCGTGGCTGCAGGGGTACAGCTGGCCTCGCTATGGTCTTCAGCATGGGCTACAGGGTGAAGCATCTTCACCATCTCTGCTCTGGTGCCTGGAACACCTCCTCCCACTCTTTCTCCACTGACCTGGGTGTCTGTAGAGCTGTTCTCTCACATTCACTCCTCTCTCTGACTGCAATTGCCCAGGGTGTCCTTCTTCCTCCAAACACGTTATCCCAGAGGTGCTGCCACTGAAACTGATGGGCTCAGCCTTGGTCAGAGGCAGGTCCGTCTTGGAGCCGTCTGGCATTGGCCCTGTTGAACACAGGGGAGGCTTCTAGCAGATTCTCACAGCAGTCACCCCTGTAGCCCCACAATACCAAAACCTTGCCATGCAAACCCAGTACAGAGAGTTAATGGGAAGTGTTCGTTATGAATTGCTGGAGTAGGATTTCTTTTGCAGGTTATATTAGTATTTCCATCCTAAAAATGGAATTTGCATAGTCAGTTTACATGTAAATAAATATGAAGAGTTCTCACTTGCTCAAGTTTCTCATTTTGGTTGTATTGTTATCCGGATTCAAAATTTACTAAGAACTTGGAGTAAGAATATTCTTAAAGCCAGTAAAGAGCAAAAGAGTAAGTAGAAGGGTCAGACATCCCATCAAGTTAAAGTGAATTTTAATAACTACAGCCTGGAGGACTTGGGGAAGGTAAGGGGATAATGCTTAGAATTTCCAGTTAGGATTGCTTATTGGTTAGAAATGCCTTCAGTTGATGATGTAGACAGTTTTTTCCTTGCTTTTCTGAAACATTTTGAATTAACCTATAGCTGAAAATAGACTGGCTAGCAGGCTTCTCCACATTAACTTTGTCAGTTATGTTTTAACACTTGTAATAGGACTATGAAGGAAGAGCAGTACTGAATAGTTTCATGTTACATCAGAGGATGCACCAGCTTTCAGGATGTGACTAATTCCAAGTCATGTTCTGTAGTAAGCCTGGAACAGATTTAGGGATGTAAAGCCATACCTGAGGTTAGTTCTAGCAAAGTCTTGCAGCTAAGAGCAGCTGTCAGGAGAATGTGTCTCATTCTATATGCTTATTTGTACTAGGGTAGGATATTTTGGCCATACTCGAGTTATCTGAGGAGTGCTCAGCAAAAAAAGTACTAACGTGCACAGTGTTATTAATGAGTATAAAAGATTGAGTCTCTTCATTATTTTTCTTGTCTGCCTGTTACCTCACTTTTCCTCCCCGTTTAACAGAATCGTAGGCTATGTGCAGAATATGTCCCTGTGTGGCTGCTTTGCTGACCTGGGATTTTCCTTTGTCTTTTTGAAGCAAATGGGGCAGACACTTCCTTGTAGTACTAGCAGAGCTAGTATTTCCTAATATTGCTTTTTAAGTAATGTAGAAATTACTGCATTTTTGAAGAATGATTTCATTTGAAGATGTTTTCAAGAGTTGCAGCTAAAACCTCCAAAAAAGTAGGTCAGTCGCACTGGGTTTATGTGAAATAAAGAAAACACTTGGAACCATCTCTAAGTGATGTGCAGTTTCTCTTGTTGTGTAGTACCTTGTCACTGGTGATAAGTGTTTTAAGGCTGGAAGTGAGGTTGCTTGTTTAATTGTGGGGATGTTTGTGGGTTTATTTTTTTAAAGGATCCTAACTTCATATGTTACACTGGGTAAAAAATGAAGGGTTGGGTGTGGATTAGGCCATAAGCATGTATATGCTGAAACTCAACAAGACACAGATTGAAGTTGATACTGCTTTATCTGGTGATTTGCTGGTTCCTTAAGTTTTGTGTGGAAATATGTTCTGCTTTTTCATGGTTTTAACATTTTAATTGGTAAATTCAGACTAATTTATAAATTCAAGTAAGCATTATGTGGAGGTTAATTGCACTTCTCAGTTTCAGGTTTGTATTGGCAGTGACTATGAAGTTCTTGGCTTTTTATGTATGCTGTGTCTGATATGATTGTGTAACCATGGGGGTGTAAACTCTTGTGCTAATTAATCTGTGTAAATTTTCCCCTCTACATAATGAGCGTAACTCACTCCCTTGCCCCCGCCTGTTGTGAAGGTTTGTCACTGGTGTCACTCACGACTTCATGTCTTCTGTTTTCAAATCAATCTCGAAGAAAACATCAGGCTCTAATGAAACAAGAAATGGAAACTATTTTATTGAGACAGAAGCAACTGGAGGAAACCAATCATCAGTTAAGGGAGAGGGCTGGAGATATCCGTCGTAGCTTGCGAGATTTGGAATTAACGGATGATTGCTATGAGAAGCTCAAGTCTCTTCCTGAAGATCAGCTTTCTATCCCTGAATATGTTTCTGTGAGTATTGTGTTTTGTGTTAGTTTAAAATGTAGCTATGTCTTTGGTCTGGCTGGGATGGAATTCGCCTTCTTCATAGCAGCTTCAATCTTGATGTGTTTTGGATTTGTGGCTAAAACCCTGTTGGTAATGAACCAGTTTTTTGGCTGCTGCTGGTCAGTGCTTGCACAGCATCAAGCCTTACTCTCTGTCCCCAGGGAGCAGACTAGGGGTGGTCGTGAGGTGGAGAGGGTACTCAGCAGGACAGCTGGCACATTGACCTGAGGAGTATTCCATACCATCCAATGTCCTGCTCAGCAATATAAAGTGGAGGTAGAAGGAGAAAGAGGAGGTGAAAGGCGAGTGGCTTCCAGTTGCGGGAGTTATTGCTTGGAGACTGGCTGGGCATCAGTCTGCTTGTGGGAGGTGGTGAGTGATTGTCTTTTCATGGTGGGTGTTGGGGTGGTTTTTTTTTTTCATTTCACCTCTTTTTCCTCTACTAATTAAACTTGAGAGAACTTGACACCTGAGTTGTCTTGCTTTTGTTCTTCCAACTCCTTCCTCTGTCCTGTTCCCAAAGGAGGCAGCCAAGTGAGTGAGCTGCCATATGGGTGCCTGGCTGCTGGCCAGGGTCAACTCACCACAAGCTGTAAATTGCTTTTGTTTAGAATTAAAGGGATGTGCAGATAATAGAAGCCAGTCTGTACTCTCGTGATTCTTATTCTTTCTCAACTAGAAATGAAGGACCCTCAGAGGCAGATGTGCTTCTGGACCAGTCCGTTATGACTGGATTCCAGTAAAGAGGGTAACCTTTTAACCTCAGACTCTGTCTTAAAAGACAGTAGAACTGCTGATGTATTTTAAGGAGGTTAAGAAGGTGCAGTGTTACAGTTAAATGGTGGCACACATTGAGGAGATGAAATACAGCAAGCTGAAAATAGGAATTTGCAACTAGGCTTGCCAGAGCCACGAGCTGCAAACATCTCTTACCTTTCCCTCATGGTTTCCATGTGGCCCTTGCCTATCTGACTTAAATGCAGGAGATAAAGTATACTTCAAGACTAATTTTCTTGATTTAAGAAGCTTGTTAATTATGGCTTATAGGTAAATGGAGGGGCAAGGGGGTACTGTGTTTGCAATGAAAAGACAATGGCTTCGCAAACTGTGGGGTGTGTCCAGAGCATCCTGGCTCACTTCTGAGAATGAAGAGTATTTAGACATGTAAACTCTGATTCACTGAAGTATTGGCATTGTATTTATCTATAGAGTTAGTTTTTAAGGAAACTGTAAATAATGGAATGTTAAAAAGCTAAGTGCATTTGTTAAGGTATAAATGATGCGTGAATGAGTTTTCTTACTGGATGAAAGCTGTGGTATACTGTGTTCCAGATGTATCCAGTAAAGTAAAACTTGTTATCCTTATCTAAAGGATGTTCTTGGAAACATCTCTTCAAAAGTCTCAAAATTTGGACTTCTGAAAGTACTAGGAAAATCTAAAGGCTCTGAGTGATAAAGAACAACACTTAGCTTGGGGCCTATTAGGTTGTTACTCCTTAGCTGTATACTGTACCCCCTGCCCTCTGTAGGAGTAGTTGAGGGTTTTTGGTTGATTCCTGCACCACCATGGTCGACAAAGCAGATTTTTAACACAAACTGAAATGCATGTCAGCTTGCTTGAAATTGGTGTGCAGGAAGCTCCAGGACTTCAGGAATTGATTGACAGTCAGTACAAAAGACTCTTTAGCTAGGCAGGACAGATACCAGGAGTTAGTAACCTTGCCAGCTACTTTAAGTGAAGATGTCACAGAACAATTAGAGTGCTCACGTTGTATTTGTGAGTAGAAAGGGGGTCTAAAACAAGATGTGAAGCAGGAGAAGTGACAGCTACTTTGTACCTTTCTTTTCCTCTCGTGTTCAACCACTAAATGCTATTTCTGTCTGTGACTCAAACTCCATTACTTGTGTTCAGTGAAGCCCCTTTCCTCTTTACTCATGTCACTTTTTTCTATTGACAAAGTCCTCTTTTGCCTGCCCACCCACCCTGGAGAAGACATTCTAAAGATATACTGTAGTAAGATGCTGTTTTCTGCTTCTTCTCTCACCTTCTTTTGTCAACAGGATCAGTGTGAACCTGAGAGTATCAACTGAGCTCAGTGATTGTTTATCATTACTTTGAGTTACTCAGCTGATACAGATGCTGGGAGAATTATAGAATAGTGAGGGTTGGAAGGGACCTTAAAGATCATCTAGTTCCACCCCCCTTGCCGTGGGCAGGGACACCTTCCACTAGACCAGGTTTCTCAAAGCCTCATCTGGCCGGGCCTTGGAGACAGCCAGGGATGGGGCATCCATAGCTTCTCTGGGCAACCTGTTCCAATGCCTCACCACCCTCTCCAGGAAGAACTTCTTCCTTATATCTAATCTAAATCCCCCTGCTTTCAATTTAAACCCATTACCCCTTGTCCTGTCACTACAGGACAAAACTACAGAACTATTTTGTATATCCCGTCTAGGCATCCATTTGGCTTCTAAGGGCTAGGAAAAGGATGTTGAAGGGAATAAGTAATTTTTCTGATGCTGTTTTCTGCTTTGCATACCTAAGGGGGAACAGTGCATTTCTCAGGCAGATAAAATTTGGCTCCAGATCTATGTGCAGACTAATAGTATAGTCTACTGATACTGGGGTAAAATTCTCCTTCACAAGGAAGTGTCCTGCTTAGAGAAAAAGTGAGCAAGAAATTTCCAGAACCTTTTTTTTCCTGTTTCTCAATTATAACACACTGCCTTACAATTGTCCAGGCTAGAAGTAAATGTGTACATAATGCTTAGACGTTGTGAAACCTGGTATACTGGACAAACAGCAGGAAGTGCTTAAATACGGGTTTTTTTATATAGAGATACTGCAAGTTTAAAATACTAGAATTAAACAAATGTGAGGTGTTTTTCACCTTTTCTTCCACAAGGGGGTGCAATAGGGATATGTTAGAGCAAAGACTAGGCTATGTTTAATGTTAATGGAGATGACAAATGAAACATGATGTTCTAAGCACCTTTCTCTTAAAATCACACTTTTTTATTTTGAACTTACATCTAAAAATTTATGGGCTTTTTAACTGTTTAGAAGAATTACGGTTTTTTCAGCAACAGTATATGCAAGGTTTTATGCACTACAGGTGGTTGAACTGGTGCTTGTCAGCTGACTCACTTAATTTGTTCAGTAAAGTGAGCCCCCTGTTGTGTACTCTCCTATAAAAATTTCTCACCAAGTTGTTTAAAAATGGTAACTTTGACTTCTGTTTGATCTGATTGTAACCGCTGGGTCTTTCGGTTGCATCACTTGCCAACTACAGCTCAGTTGCTCTTTAAGGCAGCAGTTAACTGGTGCAACTGCTTTCAGGTAACTTCATTTACCAGAAGCCAGCTTTCTCTTCCTCTGCACCCCCCCATTTTTAGCTTAACTCTAGTTTTCCATAAGAAGTGGTTGGCATGTTGGCATGTGCTAGGAGTTTTCTGTGGGGTTTTTTTTGTGTGTGGGGTTTGTGTTTTTGTGTTTTTTTTTTTTAAACTGCCTAGGAAGTGATGTCCTTACAGCACATCTATATAAATTTGTAATTTTTAAGGTGCAGTTGTTTCTGAAATCCCACTGCAGTAAATTTTGTTTCTCCTATATTGATTTGGACATGTGTGCTTTGACTGCTGAGTTACATGAATGTTTATTGGCCATTAAGCATATTCTGGGCTGTGTCAGAAGTGTGGCCAGCATATAGGGGGAAATAATTCTCCCCCTGTACTCTGCTCTTCTGAGACCCCACTTGCAGTGCTGAGTCCAGCTGTGGAACCCACAACGTCAGAAAGATATAGACTGGTTGGAGTGAGTCCAGAGGAGGCCACGAAGATGATCAGAGGGCTGGAGCACCTCTGCTGTGATGAAAGGCGGAGAAACTTGGGCTTGTTCACCCTGGAGAAGAGAAGGCTCCGGGGAGACCCTATTGCAGCCTTCCAGTACCTGAAGAGGCCTACAAGGAAGCTGGGAGGTGGGGACTTTTTACAAGGGCCTGTAGTGACAGGACAAGGGGTAATGGGTTTAATTGGAAGTGGGGAGGTTTAGATTAGATATCAGGAAGAAGTTCTTCATGGGGAGGGGGGTGAGGCACTGGAACAGGTTACCCAGAGAAGCTGTGGCTGCCCCATCCCTGGAAGTGTTCAAGGCCAGGCTGGATGAGGCTTTGAGCAACCTGGTCTAGTGAAAGGTGTCCCTGCCCATGGCAGGGGGGTTGGAACTAGATGGTCTTTAAAGTCCCTTCCAACCCAAACCATTTGATGATTCTGTGTTCAAGCAAGCTAAATAACTAACAGTCAAACTGCTACAACCTTCCCCTTATCTGCTGCATTCATTTGCATTTTCTTATTACAATGGATTGCCCCTTTCTTGGGAAGGCTGGGCAGGTACCTTTATCCTCAATACCCATATTGCATGTCATCTTGGTTTGATAATGGGTAATCTGTTTTAGGGTTGTTGTGGCTTGGGAATTAAATGTGGCATAACAACGTAAGTTAGGTTTCCTAGAGAAATCACAGCAAAAATACAAGAACTTCAGGGAAAAGCTAGGTATGGTTTAAAAAAACCCACAGTGCTTTGAATAGCTAGCTACCAGTTAGTGACAATCAAGGTTATTTTTTTTAAGGTAAAAAACTGAAAAATTTTGTAATCACTTTTTTGGTGGAGAAAAAGATTTGATTGAAATTCAGTTGCTTGGTTTCAGATGTATTTGGACAAGTTCTTAAACAATCCAAGCAGATGAAAACTGTAGTCAGCAGAAGCTGTAGTTAAGAGACTAAAATTGTACTTAATGCTTTGCATGTGCACTTCTAAAGCATGGGGTATTTTTTTCCGAAGGAAGCAGTTGAAGGCTGATGTAGTTCAGAAGTTAGTTTTGTGGGTTCTTTCTAACTTCACTGTTTGATTTAAGGTAAACCCATTAGAAGCAATGTGATTTCACAGATGGATGTGAAAAAACTGCCTAAATATTGATGGAATAAGATAATGCAAGAAAAAATAATAATAAAGTAGTAAAATAAGGCAATAATATGCCGTTAGTGCACTTCCCAGAATAGAAAGACAATTTATAGTTTTAACTGTAGCATCAGGTGGTTGAATTTCTCATTTGGAAGTCTCAGAACATGAACAAAAAATCGTCATTCCTTATTTTGGGTTTAGTTGAATTTGTAGTTTTAAAAACAGTGCTTAATTTTGTTAATTTTCTGTGTTAGCGAATTGAGAATCCCACGTTATCATCTTAAAAAAAATTAAACCAGCAACTACATTTTGAGAGAACTTGCTTTTTTTTTTTTAATAAAAAATTACTTTAAATTTATATATGTTCTATTTTAGCTTATGTTTGTTTTGCATCTAAAGGTAAGGATGGGGAGTGGAGCTCTCTTGTTGAGTGCAACAGATTCAAAAAACTGCAACTTTCAACAAGCATGGTATTTGGAAAAACTGGAAAACAAAGCCCCAAAATCCCCACCACTTTTCAGAAAATTTCACTTCTCTGCCTTACGACTAATCCGGTCATGTTGCAGACTTGCTTTATTGCATAAACTACACCTGTGTTTACATCGCAGATTTCCATGGCTTCTGTATGTGTTAGAATTGTATGCTGCCAGTTATCTGGAACGTAACTGTAACTTCTATTCTTCAGCTGTTTACAGGTAGCAAGAGAGACTCATCTTCCTTATGCATGGAAGAGTAGTACACCTTGATCTTGAAGCCTTATTCTCGCTTGTATTTCTTCTTTAATCATGTATCAAACAACGCGTTAATGATGGGGGGTATGGAGTAGCTTTTGCATTAAAATAGTCCTTAATTTTTATTCTTTTCATCGCCCAAAACAAACATTTTAAGGTATCAAGTTAATCTGGGAGTAGTAACCTCTGTGTACGTGTGTGTGGGTGTATATCAAAAAAACTTTCTTCTTTGTTTTTTTTTTTCCTGGGTTTTTTATTTTTTTTTACTACCATATTTTCTATTATTTTTTTCTTGTTCAGTAGAAATTTCTGGAAAAGTTTTATGGGTCTGAGACTTACTTATCTTAGACAATGCTTATGACTGGAGTGGGGGAAGAGAGGAGTATGTGTTAGAGCTTTTTGTTTGTTTTACATTCCTTTAAAAGAAATTTTTTTTTTTTTCAGTGCTGGTTTAGCAGAACAGAGTCTTTCAGAGGCTTAGTTGCATGGTGCAGGTGAACCCATATAGCACCATGCTGCTACTGAAAATGTGTGTGGGGGGTATGTCACGGTTCTTCCTGGTTATGTGCTGTTCCTGCTTCCCGCGCTTGCATTTTTCTCGGTGCAGATTCAGCACACTGAACTGGCAGAAAACAAAACTAATCTCTTCATTTCTACACACCTCATAAAAGTTTATATTGGCTTAGGGAAGGTTAGCAAGTTAAGTTGGCCTATTGCTAAATAGGGTCTCTTTATTCTTTTTACACTGTTCATCAAATAGGCTGAGAGTTGGCACAAGTGAGAGGGTGAGACCATACTACTAGAAGCTGTATCTTGTTTAATCAGGCAGCCCAACTGGGATCTCCCTTAGTTGAAGAGAAATGAATTATCTTGACTTTTATTCCTTTTTTTTTTTTTAATTCAGTACCAAACACAGATTGATTAGTTCTTAGCTGCTTCTGTCAAAGATGCTAAAGAAAGACACTGTCTTTGCTTGAACATCCGCCCACAACCAGGTTCCTTGTATGCACTAGAAATAATTTGTTGACTTACTGCCATAAAATATTGAGCTGATTTGTTTCTGGGATTGTAGTTTTGCGGTTATGATTTTGCTAGTCTCAGTTTTAAATATATATATCTTGTTTTTCTAGATCCGATTCTATGACGTAGTCCATTCCTTAAGGAAAGAGCTAAGTGATCTACAGATGAAAAAGGAGAGCCTAACAGAAGAACTCAGTGGGTACAGATCCCAACTGAAGTGTCTGACAGAGGTCTGTGCACCATAATTATCTCAATTAAGAAGCTGTGTAAATATGTATATTGCAAAAAAACCCTCATTTTCCAAATAATTATTCATGTATAATATATAAAAACTTTTTTGCTGTGTAACAATTACTGGGGGGAGGAGGGGATGGAGAGGGAGGGGAAGGGGAAACATGCTATGAATGTTCTTGCATAACAGCTAATTTGACATTATGGGTACCCTGCAAGATTTGTTCATGAGACTGTTCAGGATAGACTTTTCCAAGCTGTGTTATGCTTTCTGAGGACAAGGTTCAAAGCGGGGAAGCTGGGACAGGAGATCCATCCAGCATAAGCTGAAGATGAAGTGATGTTTCAGTGTCTAGTTTTTGAGATGGTGATGTCTTGGTAGTAATTTGTTTCACCTTTTTGTTTTAATGATACAAAAATGCCATTTTTAAGAGTTCTTCAGAGTTATTTCTTCTTTGTTATGCTTTTCAACTTTTTTATATTTTAATTTTTCTATTTATTTCCATACTAAAGAAACAGGTAATTTGATTTCAGGTAAGGTATAAACACCAGAAGTAGAGAAACAAATTATCTAAATATATTTCATCTTTATTTTTAAAGAGTAAAAGAGTTAAAACAGTGTAAGGAGAATGTTGGTCTTAAGGTATTTATGAATATTTATAGTATACTTAGTATGTATACAACTCCGATGATTTGTATTTCAACGTAGTTCCACATAAATCTGGAGTTGTGATAAGAGAGTTTTAGCTACTTAGAGTATATTTATCCAAGTCATAGCTAGAAGAGGCTTAAATGTCAATGTCATTTTACTATTTCTGAAAGTGTTGTTTAGTTACTACCTTTCTTTTATCGAAATTTACTTATGGAATAAAAAGATATTTTAATTATACAGGATTATCTTGTGAAAATAATATTTTCTTTCCTTTTTGATTAAATTAGAAAAAGTAATTAATAAAATTTGTGCATTTAATTATCATCTGTAGTCAAAACTGAGGCTACATTAATCCTGTTAACTTTTATTTACATGAGCATCTCCCTTCACTGTATGTTTAATGTGCTCTGATTTTATTAAATCTCAGAAGGCTGAAATCCTCCTACAGAATTTGACTGACATTTATGTTAGTTTTTGTTGCAGCAATTTAACAGGATAGTAGGTAACAAAGATGTGCCAGAATCAATTTTCTTTGTACATTGACCTTTCTTTAATATAGAAACCTCTCATGTTCTTTTTTTACCACCTGGTGGCAGCATCCACCTTTCCCACTGATTTAATTTTCAGGTTTTTGAGTGCTGGGCATTTCTTTCGATGCTAATGAGAGAGCGCTAGAATGCTGCCTGCGTTGAACTGAGATGGTTCTTCGAATGCTTATACCCTGTTTGCATAATCATGCTTAAAATGAGAGACAATTAGTGAGAATGAATACCTCATTAAAAGAAAAAAGAAACAGGGAAGAGATCCAGATGTTGAAATGACACAAGCAAAAAAGGCTTACTGTTGTTAATAAAAATTAATCCTTAGGATTCTCAGGTTTCAGATAAGATCACTTACTACAGTTCTTCCATATATATTAAAAAAAAACAAAACCAAAACCAACCTCAAGAACCAAACCAAAACCCAAAATGAAGTCTTCACTCTGTTACGCATAGAGATGATGTCTTTGGAATATTTAATAGAATGTGACCTGATACGAGGTAGTTTATGTATGGATAGACTTAAGAGTCTCTGTGTTTTGCTTCTGGCAAATTCAGATTTGACCTAGTGACTTGATGAGTGTCACTGTGACAAGGTACCTCAGGCTGTTTCAGATAATAAGGTGAGAGGAGCATCATCAATACCTGAGGGTACTTTAGAGTCTCTAATATATTCAGTGCACTACAGCGAACAGACCTGAGCATCTCTTTGAAACCACTTTGTAAACTGCAAGTGTACTGTTGGGGTAACTTACTTATTTGAGCTCCTTCGTTATGGGCAAGCTTTATTGCAAGCAAATTTTGCAGTAGGAAATGAAGCAGTTTCATTCAGTCTTACTTAAGCTCTTAGACTTTTCTTTTTTCTGTTCTTGTGGTATTCCAATCAATCTTTATTTCTGGCTACATGAAACAGAGTTGCTGAAGTTCCTTGCCTGTTTTTTTAATAACTTGCACTCTTCAGATCTTTCTTCTGGGTTCCCATCCAATATTCCTTGGATTTTAAGTTCTTTCTGACAGTTGCAATATTTCTGCTCTCTACATACTTCATCAACAAAGTGTCAGTTCTGGGTTTAAAACTTATATGGGAAACTACTAATACAGACTTTCGAAAGACAGTCATCACTAAAGTTCAGATAATCTCTCCTTCCTCCCCCTGCCTTGTCGTCCTCTTTCTGGAACATAGAAAGGAAACAAAATGTATGCTTGTACCAAATCTTTCAATTAACTACTAATGGCTTGGGGGAGAAGGATTTTTCTAGTTTTTCTGGTTATTGGTGGCTGACAGACTAGGTTTGAGTAAGTTTTGAACATGTAAATATTCGCCTAGAAATGAAGTCATGAGAAATACGAGATAATTAGGTATGGACTTACAGGAAAGTCTGTCTGGCTAACAAAGATTGAACAGTATGAAGGAAAATCCAAACTTGTCTAATGTGTTAAGCCAACTCTAGGAAAATTTAAATGTGAAATGATTGCAATGGTTGCCTTATTTGATGAATAGTATCAGCTATGCTGTTTTGTGACAGGATGGCTGTAGTCCTTTAATTTGATCAGAGGAAATGAGCTCTAATTTTACTGTTCTTCTTTTGGAGTGTGAACATAAGATACTTAAATTATTTTGTTTTCCCTGCTCATGAGCCTTTATATACTGTTTTGTGGGAAAGCAAAGCAGCACAGTTCTATTCTTTGAATGTATTTACGATGATCCAATATAGCTGAGTATCAGTTATACAAAATCAGGTCTTCAAACCCACTACATCTTTTTTTTACTACACATTGCCTTTGTTGTTGTTGTTAGGGGAAAAAAAAACCCACCACCAAACAAAACCCAAACAAAACGCATTGTTAGCACAACAGATCTAGCCTGGCACAAAAGTGAGTACAGTGTCTTGGTCTTGTGGCCTCTCAACAAACTGAGTTTATAAGCACCCAGCTAGACCAGCTAGGAAGCTTGGTTCTGTAAAAATTGAATTGTCATTGAAGCCTTGTGGAAACTAACTTTCTAAGAGACTTTCTAATCCACATGTTCTTTATCTCTAGGCAATTCATTAATTCATTTGTATTAGAAAAACTCTTATTTCTCACTTCAGGGCATAAGAGACCTTTCAAATGTTTGTCACCTGTATTTGAAGTCTGGATGTATGAAAATAGATTTTGTTTGTTCAGAAGGGACAGAAGGTCCTAAGTGTGTATTGGCCTCTGTTAGTACACATTTAATTCTTAATAAGATCACTAGAACTCTACAGCTTTGTAACAAAGTTCTCTTGTTGATTGTCTGCTGCTCTGAGTTAGCACTTAATCAAAGCCAGCTGAATCTGTAAGGCAGACCCAGTGTGGTGGGGAGCTGCTTCTGACAACTGGTAGCAAAGAACAGCGTGTGAAGACTGATTTCTAGCACTGTAACATAATCTGATAAAACACAGCTAGTGTCAAAAGATCTTTGTCACCGCTCTCTGTTTTTAAAGTGGTCATTGTAAGTGGTTCTGCAGTATTACCGCTGCGCAACTGTTGCATCTGTGATTTCGACCAGCGCAGTCCTGATTGTAGGTGCAGCAGCAGACTGGGGGGGAGGCGGTGGAACTGGTTAAAGCGATGTTCTTGTATTTCAGTGCTGACTGATCTGTTACCCGATTCATAGTACAGACTCGTTTCAATCCTTTTACTGTGCTCAGTACTTGAAGTATAAACAATGTTGGCACCACCACCTTTGGAGGTACAGATAGAGGAAAAAAGTCCAGCTATAATGTTGTATTACCAGGAGCTTCCCAGAAACAAAACCAGCTTCTGATGTGTGTGTTCCCATGCTGAACATCAGTGTACTATTTTCAGAGTTGTTTGCTTCCAGAGTGGTTAGAACCTTCCCTCAAACACATGTAATTTACTACTCGCGTGTTTCTCTCAAGGCTGAGAAAGAAATTCTGCTTTTCTTTGTAGCTCTAGAAGATTAAGTATTGCTTTCTTCTGGCTATGAATTTCTTGGCAATGTTTCCCTGGAATTTGGTTTTGATATAGTTTTATCAGGGCTTCCTTTCTTTAGTGTTTCATGGTGGGTTTTTTTCCTGTAAAGTTGCCTTCAGGACTTGCAATCAAATTTATAGTATGACAGTTATCTAAAAGCTATGGTTAGCCTAAAGCCAAAGCTGTATGTATGTAGGACAGAGATCTCTTCTAAGACCTCGTCTCTGAATCAGGATTAGTAGCTGTCGGGCTTTGCTAGACAAACCTAACAATTTTCTCTGTGATAATGTTTCCCAGCTGGAGGAAAAACGTTTCTCTAGTCTTCAAAGAATGAACTAAGCTATTGCACTCAAAGGATCAGTTGGCACTAGATGTATCTGAATGTTGTAAACTGGAGGCTACTGTTGCTATGCCAGGAGGACTGCGTTCCCTAAGATTTCCTCTGAAGTTTGTACACTTGTAATTAAAGACTGCACTCTAGAATGCTTCCCCAGCCCCCTGACACCCAGTAATCAAAGCACTGCTTGACAGAATTGGTATTCTCTCTCTAGAATGATGAGGCCTCAGTCTTAAGTGAGATACGTGCCTTCTTTCCTTCAGTTTGTTAATATTTATCTTGTTCAGGAACAAAGGTGCAAAGAAAATACCAATAACTATTAGCTTGGGGCAGCAGTTCAACATTTCCAAGACTCAAGAAGACTTATGTAATCTATGGAAGTTCACTTTTTCTATCCAATGTCTTTCTACCTTCTTTGATCTATAGCTATGGCTCATATAGACTGCTAGTCATTGTTCAGAAGGACCAAATGGCTTATTCTGGTCTCTAACACAATGATCCCAATGATCCTTT